TCTGTCCAACCGTCCATCAATACATCTGCCCATCCATCCATCAAGACATCCATCCATCAGTCTGTCCATCCATCATCTGTCAGTCCATCCATCCAACTTTCCGTCCGTTAATCCATCATTCATCCGTCTGGCCATCCATCTGTCCATCCATCCCTTCATCCATCTGTTCGTCCGGCAATCCATCAACCCATCCGTCCTTCCGTCCGTCCTGCCATCCATCCCTCTGTCCAACTGTCTATCCGTTGTCCGTCCATCCATCTATCCCTCTCTCCATCTGTTCGTCTATCCATCCATCCGTCTCTCCGTCCATCCATCCATCTATCTGTCCGTCCATCCATAGGTAAAAAAAGGAAGACTTTGATACAATAATTTTAAGAAATCATTTTTTTTTAATCTTTTCAGTGACTAGCACAATAAAATATTAGTAAGCGAGAAACGTCTTCAGTGTTGGTTCATTGCTTGCTGAAACTTTCCAAGTCTGTTGAATATTATAAAATAATGTCTCTCTTTTTACTTTAGTATGTGGACCATATCAAACTCTGCAGTAAATTCCGAACTCCATGTCGATTTCATGTCGTTGGATGTGACATGTCTGTAAGTAGCCCCAAGATTCTTTCCTTAGTTAAACGTCCAGATTGTGTCCCTGTGGTAATAGTTAAAAGTCACATTTTGGCATGTTGCAATACATTTAAAATTTAGTGTTAATTCTTTCCGAGTAATTTCTAAAAGGTTTGTTCAACTTCATCTATTCTGGTATCCCTTAAGAGAATGCGTCTCACCCAACACCCTTTAGAAGTAATTTAATAAGTCAATAGAGTCCATCTGTGTTAAATTAAGAATCAGCATAAATACAGCCCTGTTGAAGGAGTTGATAGAGTCATAAAGACCAACTTCCAAGTAACACAGGAGGCATTTATAGAGAAGTTTGCTGCAGGGTTTGGTCATAAAACAGTTACCATACCTCTGAACATCACACAGCTCAGCTTTAGGTCAGAGAACTGTGCACAGGGCCCTTGGTACCTCTGGATGAGTTACAGAAACCCATAGCTTAGTAAGGAGAGTTGAATCAATCAAACAACCATCCACTGTGCAATACACAAATCTACTCTTAAAGACATTTCGACAAGAAGTTAATTATAGTAAATAAGAAGAAGGATGTTAGGAAGGATGTTGCCAAAAGTGCTCATGTGTTATAAATACTCATAACAAGCAGTTTTATTTACAACATATGCATGTAGACTTACTCCAGGTGCTTTTTGAACATTTATTGTGTGCAGATTCAATGTCATAAGACCCCCAAACTGTCACAGGCATGTCTTAGTTTTTATATGCCTGTAGATTCTCCTTTACTTGTCTTTGGAGCTGTTTCTGTGCACTCATGTCAACTTTTATCACTTTGAGGGTGAAACCAACCGAAGAAAGTAAACTGCCTGTGATTTGGCTACTTTTTAGGACATCTTGCCTCTGATGTTTTATTCATAGTTCTGGCTAGTAAGGCATTTTCAGAATAATAGCAGTTTCTTTTAACAGTAGATTTCTGACTTTATATCCAACAGCCAATTCTGTCTTCAGTTGACCATATTATAAACAAAATTCTAGATACAAAAGAAAAAGAAAGCTTAATATTAGCAGCAAACTGATTAGAAATCTAATGTACTTTCCTCAATATTATTCATTATCTTTCCATTTCTGTAGGTTGAGAAAGAGAAGATTCATGATCATGAACGCGCTTACGCCTATGAGCACCTTAACCTGCTCCTGCACTACATTATGGGGATGAAAGTGAGCATGGAGGGCCTGCAGCCCCAGGGACTGGAAATAGCCGGACACAAACTGTTAGAACTCCAACAATCCCTCAGGGAACTCGAGGCCAGAGTCTCCCAGCTCAGCACCACCTCCTCTGGGCCTCCCGTGCAGGGAGCTGCCGCCTCCTCTTCCTCCTCCTCCGGCACCGGCCCCTCTGGCCCACCTGCATCAGCTCCTCTCCCTCCACCTCCAACTCTTCCTCCAACTCTCTCTGTGTCTACCTCGTTCACACCCCTGCCCAGCTCAGTGGGCGCAGCACTGGAGCTTCAGCTCCACAGCGAGAAGACCAAGGTGGCCGAGCTTGGCCGCAGATGCACCGAACTCGAGGTCAAAGCGGGGACGTTCGAAAATGTGGTGTGTGTTCTTAACCGAGAGGTGGAGAGGTTTGCCACAACCATGGAGGCCAGCAACCGGCAGCATAAACTGGACCAAGACAAGATTGAGGCTCTTAGTAATAAGGTAGGACATCAGTTGTGGGAGCGATGCGGCACCAGTGGCAAACTCTTCCTGCCAAAGTTCTCTAACAAAAAGTGAATGTAATTTATATTTGCTCCAGAAAAGCACCACTTCTAGTTATTTTCACCCAGTTTGAATTTAAATTAAATCCAAATGTGGAAGTTTAAGGCATCTTTGGCTCTACTCAGGGCCTTCACTAAACACCTTAAAGACAGCAACAGATTACGTACTCAGATATGTCCCAAAATGGTTGTAAACGAGTTTTATATAATGCTTTGCTCAGAAACCCAGCTGGCTGCCATTAGCAATATAAGATGATAATAATGTATTTAATATATCCTCTTAACATTTGCAGCCTGGGCAAAGGTTTAAAAACCATATTTATTAGAATAAAACTTTCAAACATCATAGGATTCTTTGAAAAGTTTTATTGTTAGCTTATTTTGCCCACTCTATGATCACCCAGGGTGCCATTAATAGGATTAGCTTCTTGTCTTGGTTGATTCATTTCTACCTTGATTTCTTTAGACTTGATGTTGCTGTGGTTAGGGCATAGAGCTTGGAATCCTGAGGTTCTAGGTTCGAGCCCCACTCCCACAGCCTCCACTCTGGGTCTCTGATCAAGACCCTTAACCCCACACTGCTCCATGGGCAGCCCACTGCTCTCCAAGGGGATGGCTTAAATGCAGATGTAGATTTATCCAATGTGAGATCAAAAAAGTTCAATTATTAGATTACTATTTTGATTCCAAAATACAAAAATATGTTTTTCTGCTCAGCCTCACCTAAAGTAAAGAAAACAAATTAAACCTGAAAGAACCTTGTATGGCCGACCAAGCATTCAATTCTCAAATCTGGACTATAGTTTGGTTCTTTGCTTATGTTGTAAGGCAGAACTGCATAAGTTTTGACCCAATAAGAGCTAAATATGAGATATATAAAATATTCTTTTAGCTTGTATTGATGCCATGCAAGCCGTTCTTCGCAAAAACTTGCTTATAGAAGTAGAAAAGGTCAGATGTGTTGCTGAAATAGTCATGTGACCTGGCTTTGAGTCTGAGCTAACCTTGAATGCTTCTACTTTTCTATTTAGAAATATGTTAACTGACAGTATAGTACATACAAAGTGCTTAAGGTAAAAATAAATTTTTCATTGGAGAAAAGTTTTGTATGTTTCATTGCCAGTTTAATTTAAAACAAATGCTGGTAAGAAATTTGTCTGGAAAAACTGGTGTAATTGGAGTTTTTCCATCAGGGGTGATTGAAGAGTTTCCCACTGTTCAACTTGGAAATTTGGACTTTGAGGGAAAGTAGAAAGTAGACCTGGAAAGTAGACCTAGTCCTTGTAAGATCCATGTCTGAAGTAGATTTTAAGTCTTCATCCTCAAGTTCTAAGTAGAAACAGTCAAGTCAGAGTCGGTTTTTAAAACAGGTGACTCTCAAGTCTGAAACCTCAATATTCAAGTACTTTCAAGTATTTTTATTCATGATAATATATATTTCAAAAGTGAAAAAGAAAAACAGATCCTTTAATGTCTAACTTTAAAAACATGAAATGAGGGCCACAGATGTGATTCAGGGTTAAAAAGGATGGAAATAAAGGCCACTAGTGCCTCAAAAAACAAACAAACCAAACATTACGACATAAAACGAGTTCAAATGGACATTTGCTAAGGTGAAGTTAGTTAAAGCTGCGATCTCACTGCACAAAAAAAGTGTCTCCTGTTGTTTCTTACCGGACTTCAAATGTCATATAAAGTAGGTTTTGCATATTGCATTTAGGTTTTTTTAAGTCGTTTAGAATTTAAGAAATAAATGTTGTCTATTTTGATCTTGTTTTTGTTTATTGCACAGTTATAATCTTCATAATCTGATTTGCTATACTGCAGCTCACACACACATACGTACAAAGGATGAAAAGACCAAGACACAGTCTACGTTTGTTAATATGGGAAGAGTGAAATCAATTAATGGTGTTCACTAGTTAATTAATGAGTGTTTTAAACTTTATATCTTCAAGTACACAAGTCATTGGTGAAAATTTCCAATTAAAGTCGCATGTCTCTGAAATTTTTTTTTAAGTCTAAAGTCAGAAAATGAATGAGTTAAGTCTGCCTCGAGTCTAATCATGTGACTCATGCCCCTCCTCTGGAATGCACCATTTAAAATGGGCTCCAAATACCAGTTGACCAGAAAAATATCCATTTGTGTTGCTTAAACTGAGATAAAACAGGGACAAGGTTGCTGATTTAAATCATCATCATCCATCATAAAATGTAAAATGAATGTAGAATTACAATTTATAATACTTTGCAGACTAAATATGTTTATCATACAAGCATCATGTAATTCGTTTTTGTCTAATAGGCTTGAAGTTTGATGAGGATGAATCAGATGTTTAGGGTTTGATAGCCTGGCCAGCCAGACTGACTGACACAGGGCGTAAATTGATCTGATATAAGGCTCAAGACTTACCGGTCTAAAACAGATCAGACCAATCACAGAGCAGGAGGCGGGCTGCGCTTTTCTGCAGCCGCAACAATCAAGACTGCAGCTCAATAGAGTGATCTTTAAATGATGCCCAACTGGCTGCTGTAAGCAGATTTCTTTATAGAAAATAAATTTCTGCCTCACATCCATAGTTTGCCTTTGAAATTGGCCCTACCTACTCCTTTCCTGACAGAACATAAGACAGTCTGGCTGGTTAGGTAAGCTATAATCCATACACAAACTCTTGCATTCATTGATTTAATTTCAACATGTTGATGTTACAGACAACATATTGTGTTGTTTGTTTTGTGCAGAATTATGTATTTAGTTTCCACCTATAGCACAATGTATTGCTGCAAGCACTTGAATATATTGCTAAATGAGGCAGTAAACTTCAACTTGCACCGTAAACAAAGTCCCATAATGCAGCATTTTAAGTGCATCTGATAAGGATTCTCATTTTTTAACAATATATAGTTATAACTTATTTAAACCATTAAACATGTTGCGGGAAAAAAAGTTGTCAACTATTCACTGCAGTTAAATAAACAGAGATTGATGGATTTCACTCAGTCTGCATTTTATTACATCTTTGCAAAGAAAGAACAAGACCTCATACCCTCCTTATTGCCTGGTAATCAGCCCTGTTCCGATCTGGGCAGCGTTCGTTCCCCCTTACTTACAATAATGGAAACTAGTCAGAGTCAAAACAAATGACAGACACTATGGTTAAACAGTAACAGGTTATGAATAAACCTTTTGAAAGAAGTGTGTTATGGGAATAAATATGTCTTATCTACAAACACCCCTCACTCAGGCATTGTGTGAAATCTAAATTTTCCGACCACAAAAGTTAACATTGAAAGTTTGGTAATGGCTGCCCTACTTTTCCAGGTGCGACAGCTGGAGAGGACCGTGGGGCTGAAAGACCTCACGGTGGTGGAGATGGAGGGCCGGCTGAGGGAAATGTCTGCCACTACTTTTGATGGCGTCTTCATCTGGAGGATCTCAGACTTTGCCAAAAAACGACAAGATGCCATCGCTGGTCGGGCTCCTGCCATGTTCTCACCAGGTAACAATATTTTTTAAGAATAAATGTTTTCATTGATCAGCTAGTAGATTCTATTGGAGAAGCATCAGTGTTATCTTTGCTCTGTTGCAAAATGCACCTTTTGTGTACTGAAGAGTATGTTGAGTTAAAAGCCCAAAGTACACATTTAAACTTTCCCAACAACAGCTTTGGTTAAGAAAAAAAAAAATTCTCAAAGACTTTCTACCAAATATCTGTTTTGTTTTTATTTAAAGCTTTTTATACTAGCAAGTATGGCTATAAGATGTGCCTGCGGATCTATCTGAATGGAGATGGGACGGGGCGTGGCAGCCACCTTTCTCTCTTCTTTGTGGTGATGAGAGGACTGAGTGACGCGCTGCTCAAATGGCCCTTCAACCAGAAGGTAAGAAAAAAACAAAAAAAAACAGGCAACTTTGTGGTGCAAAAAGATTTTAAATGCAATTTCAGCACAATTTAAGCCAAGGCAACACTTTATTTTTTACCATTTTGTTGTCATACATTAAAGGATTAAAGGCTGTAGGCAGGTTCATTTGTTATACAGACCAACACACATTTATTTAAATTGTATATGTTCCTGTTTATCCAATTTTTAACAGTGGCTCAGAGAAACTGGTCTCTATGAGCAGTGGGCTGCCATTGTGAGGCGCCCAGGGAGCAGTGTGGGGTTAAGGGTTTTGCTCAGGAATCCAGAGTGGAGGCTGTGGGGATCAAACTGGGTACTTGCAACCTTCTCAGAGCACAAGCTTACTTCTCTAACCACTAGACCAACACTCCCCCTATCTTATTAAGATATATAGATACAATTTATGAGGGTTAAGGAGGACAGCTAGTATATATAAAATTAGAGACTGTAAAGCTCCTTGGTTTCTGCATTTTTTACGCACCATGTATGGTCCTAACCCAAACCTGCAGAATCAATACATATGTCACTCTAACATGGCTGGGACCAGATACTACAGGAGAGCAGCAAAACGATCCAAATATGTGAAAGATCTGCCAGATGTTTTACACATTTCCTTAGATTAACACCTTTTTATGGTTTTCCGACATGAGTTGAGTATATAAAGTGGATCTCTGACATATTTTAACCCCAGGTAACGCTGATGCTACTGGACCAGAGCAACAGGGAGCACATCATCGACGCCTTCCGACCCGATGTCACCTCCTCTTCCTTTCAAAGACCCGTGAGCGAGATGAACATTGCCAGCGGCTGCCCCCTCTTCTGCCCGCTGTCCAAGCTAGATGGAAAGAACTCATACATCCGTGACGACACCATCTTCATCAAAGCCATCGTGGACCTCACCGGCCTCTAGACGTCGTTATGTTACGGTTTGGCGACCAGGCTGCTCCCTGACCATTCAAGGCTCCTTTTCTGGTCAGTCATGGTCCCGTCAGGGCTCCATTGGGGGGCATTGTACTGTCCCTTTGCCCCTCGCAGGAGAAGGACGTGCTCGCGGCCGTATGCTGCACGTGGCTGCCGAGTCCAGACGGTGCTGGCATTGTCATACCTGGTGGTATCTGTGTGAGAGCCACCCTCATTGATGTACATTATGGGTGCAATCTTTTTCTTTTTAACATCTACCCCAACGGGGCGAACATCCTCTTTTTTGAGCAGCAGCGGGGCGTGATTTTCGTGGTGTTAGCAGAGAGACGTTTCTTGCAACAGGTTGAAGAGAATTCTTATTTTTAATCTTCTAAAATTGTGAGCTTTCAGCTTGTGGAGATTGTCTTAGAACAGGATTGTAGATTATTAATAGCTTGTGTGGTTATTCTGAGAGAGCTGGCTTGCTATAGAGGTAGAGCTTCGTGCAGTTTTTCCTTATCGAAGGTCAATATGGATATCGTGAGCTTGCTTATGTTGAGTGAATTTGCATAGACAAACGTGGAGTTACGTTACAAATAAGATAACCAGCTTCTTTTTTGGGTTTCTTCGCAAACTTGCATGCCGCTGGAGATTTTTTTTGTTTCTTTTAACCCGACAACTCCTGCGCTCAAATTAGCTTCACGAAAAGTTAGTTATTAAAATGGGTGATTTAGCTATCCGTGATGGTGGACATTGCCTGCATGTCTTTGGAACCAGGCTATTTACATGTAGAGTTGCGTGTTTGTTGCTGTTTAGGGTTCGGTGGTTCTGATCGGTGGTTTGGTACATCTGTGGAAGATACAGCGGAGTTACCAAGGAGTCAGGGCAGCTTGCCAGTCAAGCCTGAGGCATAACACTTGCATGGAGTTCTCCTGCAGGATTTGCTCACTCGCTCACAACTCAACACATAGTACTGTGCCCCACCACAGACGTAGGTGAACACAGATTCACAGGAGTTAAGGAGATGTTTGTCTGTACTCATAGTTTCCAGTGCATACCGTACTTGTTTCTGCTGCTCTGAGACAGAATACTGATGCAAAACTATTAGGTCAGTTTAAATAAACCTCTCAGAGATTGTAAAGCATTGTTGTAGGTCTCAGACCGTTTCTGACAATATTTATTGCTGATTGATGTTTAATGAAAACAGAACAGTGCTTTCCCCTTTTTTGCAGTGACACACATTTAACACACCTGCTTATGCTGTCATACTTCAATTCGTGCACTAGATGTCGCTGTTGGTGTGTGTTTCTCATGCTGGGGTGTCGAGGTTGCTGTTGGCCTGTTTGGAAACCAGTTTTGAGCTGTATTGAAACCTCTCTGTGCATGGGAGGCTTCAATTCATTTTTGCTACGGAGTTTCGAGCCGGTTTACTCCGTGAGCCGCGCGCGGAAAGCCTTTATTTGTATTTGTTCGGATGAGAATACGTGAAAATAGAATAGTTATTATGTTATATCCGGCACTGCTCCACACCGGCAGGTGCCTATATATTTATAGCAATGTATAAATATGTATCTTTCATATCATAATGTTGAAATAATCTATATATTGATGTTAATATACACAAGATGTTATATTAAACATAGTATTACTGAATACATTATTAATTCTATAATTATAGAGCAACTTTTTGTTGGATGGTTTGAACAGGCCAGGACAACCTTTTTTTGTGCAGTGAGGACTTGTAGAGTGCAATATATGATCACATATAACCATCTTAGCTTAAAGGATTTAAACAGGTCACACTATTTGTTGCCATTTGTTTACATTACTCATTATGGCGCTGATGAGTCGGACCAGTTTTGAACTTTCTACAGAAATTGGGTTCTTTTTGGACCGTAAAACAGACAATTTCATCAATACAAGACACTTTAGCCGCTTGTTGTTTGCCAAGCTAGCACCTAGCTAGCAAGGAGAACCATTTAACTGAAATTGTTACTTTATACACCGTTTTTGTTTGGAACTTTAAAAACTTTTTTAATAACGTCTTTAAGGATGTAAAAAGTCACTTTCTTAAACCTTGAGTGTGCTTGTACCGTGCCAAAATCTAATATTACCTCTATATGCTAACAATGTACTGCGAGATGTATTTTATGTTCTATGCTAAGATACGGTGCCAAATATGTTTTTATTAAGTTGGGATTTCTATGTTGGCAAGCATGATGCTTTTTTTTATACGATGCATGGGGCCATTACTACTAGAAGTAACTCATTTAAACCCATAAATTGGTCCTCATATGACAGAAGTTTCTGAATGTACGCATTAATTCTGCAGTTTTTCTTATTTTGAAACTTTCCTTGTCTGTCAATGCAAAAGACTGGAACCAACTTTATTTGTGCACTTTGTATCACTTGTCAGCAGGGTATATACATATTTTGTTGATTATGTACCTTGAAATCAGAGCCATTGATATATCATATATATTAGCGAAGCACAATATTATTGGCATGATACCGATATCGGCCGATATATTAACTTACATTATTGACTACCTATTGGATACCAACAATTCTATGAATATAACCCACTTTCTACTTTTTTGGTAAGGATTACGCCTGCACCAGCGAGTCACCTGATGCAGGGGTGTCACACAGATGCTAAAATAAATGAATTGTTTAGTTTTTTTTTACTAAAGAAACAGCCAAACGGTTATTTTTAATAAATGCACTGGACATGAGGGAACAAACCACATAGTAAGTAGGTAAGGAATGAAATATCACTATCTGTTGTCGGCCAGTATCAGCCAAAATTTCAATATTGTGCATCCCTAATAAATATATATATTTATTCAATATGTTGATGATTGTTGTACCATGCTAAAACAGCTCTTAATGTCTGTAATAAAGTTTGTTGGGTTTTGATGTCTGAGCGTTTTTTTTTTTTAGGTTTATTTTATTCTAAAATAAAACTGTCATCGATTTTAGAAGTTATATTTGCAGAGCTGCCGACTCTTGAGATGGACACATGGTGAGAGGATGGGGTTAGCATTCATATGTGAAAACAACTGTGAGAAACGAGTCGAAAATAGATTTCGGTTAGAAATATTTTGTAATCAAGGCAGCTGAATAAGCTTTGTAGCCAGTGTGTATTTTTATTTTTAACATTAATGGTATTGATAAAAAAAAAAAAAAAATCAAACTCTAAATGAAAACAATGTATTTACCCTCTCTAAAACAATGTAGTCAATTAATATTTATTATTTATACTTGTTAATATTAAAATTTAAGCTTAAAAAAAAGCTTGTTTAAATGATGTCATAATTAATGCTGGTTCATTATTGTGGTTTATTCATCAGGAGCAGGTGGAAAACTTTCAATACAATTTTTCTTTTTGCACATTTGGTCTAATCGTTTGTTCAGAGGCCATAACATTTACTGACCTTTATTTTTTTAGGAATATTGTCTTGTAGGAACAACACAGCAGTCAGTAATCAACCCTTTTCCACTTTTTAATACCATTTTTTTTCTTATCGTTTAGAATACATTGGAGTGTTTGAATTAAGCAATTTGGCACATTTCTTCTTGTCCTAAATACCATGAGATGTTTAGTGCAGTTAACCCCCTTTTCTTAATGTTTCCCGCTAGCTTTTCATGATATTACAGCATTACCATAAAATAAGTGACTTGCTGTTTTGGGCAAATATTTTTTTGATTTCAGCAGCCAATATCACACAGAATGTAGATTACACTGAGCCAAAGTAATGAGGTTTAAGCCCATTATCAAGATTTTGGCAGTATATAGCTGTCAAGACAGAAAGTTAATATACTTTAGTGCCATTAAAACACAGAATTGGTTTTAACTAATTAATTAACTATAATAGGAACAAAGTGTCACTCTGGGTCCCTGAGCAAAGACCTTTAACCTCTATGCTGCTCCCCAGGCGCCGAACAATGGCCGCCCACTGCTCTCCAATGGGTAAGGTTGAATGCAGAGAGTTAATTTTGTTGCTCTGTACTTATGACAGTGCAATGACAATAAAAGCAAAACAAACAAAAAAAATGCTGAAAAGCAACATTTCACCTTTTATGCATGAAGATCTTGTCTTGTTCACTAGAGGGCACTATTTATCCATCAATCAATTGCTTTGTACCCTGTCTGAACCCCTTTAACAGGCATAATTCATATATAAAAGGAAGAAACATTATAGGTAACATATTGTCTTTTGGAGACACTAACTCAAAGAGCTGAAACTGAACCACAAGATCGTATACTTCAAGAAAAGTTGGCTCATTAAACAGCCCATCCAAATGCTCATATAAGGATTAAATGGTGCCGCCATTATTTTGGTGCTTAGATAAAATATTCTATCTTTTTGGACTAAAATGTAAAATGATATTAAGATATTTGGGATTAATCAGTATTTAAAACGTCCATTTACATTCACCCTGGTATGTGAAAAGTCTGATCAGTCTCTGAGTCAGAGTGAAGGAAGTGAGCTAACAAAGCAGTGGTTACTTCCACAGGATGTGGCTGGGCAAGTCAGCTCAAAGGAGCCCTTTTATTTAAAAAGACTTCTTTTTCCGTTGTCTGCTGCTCATTTTAAGGTCAAGTCTGACACTTTTAAAGCTTGATGCACTCTCAGAATTGTGTGTACTTAATAGTACTATACCAACTTATATAAACATGTGGTATTTATTTTCCAGGTAATACTTCCTCTTAATATGTGCCACATTTGTTTTCATTAGCTTTGCACAACATAGGAAGAATTTAGATTTTTTTTTATTAAATACCAGACATACATTTAAAGGCAAAATGTATTTATATAAATCACACTTTAAAGCAAAAATTTGACCGAAGTGTATAGAAAATCCTTTTACAACATGGAACAATGTTTGGAAATTACGTGAATTCAGTAAATTAATAAAAACAAAAAAAATTAGAAGTTCTAGAAAGCATAGAGTGTCTAATGCTCAGGAAAAAGGAGATATTTAAAAACAAACATTTAAATCAATGTTAAGGTCAGGTATCCTACAACCTGGGCACATTCTTGCTTTCGGTCTCCCATTAAGGAACGTATCTCTGCACCTTGTGCTGTTTTACTCACTTGGACTTTGGAACTGAACTGTTAAACAGTACAAAAGGCATTTGTTCTGAACGAATTGGTTTCTGGTACCTTATGCCCATAGAGACAAAATAAAACAAAAAATAACTTTCTGGAAATTTAATACTAAGACCGTTAAACAAAAAACATGACAGGCAACTGAGAAGCATGACCAAATCTGTGTTGGACTCAATCAATCTGATTGGGCTGTCTTGTTTTTGTCTGCTTCTAATTGTCAGTCCGTCTCTCTTCATCTGAGCTTTGGCTCAGTATCTGCGAGCGCTGAACTCACAACCCGAGTAGGGGATTTTTGGAAGGCTTGCCACCTCGATGACGGGTGGGTTGATAGATTTAACAAACGGATAAGTCTTTCCCGGCTGGAGGCGGAGTTCTTCTCCAATGTTACCAAAATGCACAAAAAAGTAAGCAAAAAAAAAACAGGCTTGCATTTAAAAGCAATGCATTTTAGAATTAAATCTATCACTTAATAAAACTTTATGTTTTGCCTAATCTAACTTCATGATGGAGAATGTATGTAGAAAAACATGTGTATGTATGTATGCATGTATGTATGCATGTACGTCCAAAACTTTGCATCCTCTGAAGGTCCTTTGCAATATAATGAGTAGTGTTGCACCAATACCAGTATCGGACAGGGCAACGATCCAGCACTGAAATGGTGGTACCGGTGAGTACCAACAAATAGGACACCGATACCGTTTTGAGAGCCAAAAGTTTATTCAACTATTGTTACCCATTCCAGGTAGGCTATAAAAAGTTCTACTGAATTCACTTTTTATTAGTCTTTTTCCTGCTTCACAAAGGTAGGCAGCAGCTTGACAAAGCCATGATGGCAATTATTTCAGTTCTTCATATATACACACACACATAAATTTCTAACAGATGGTATCGGTCAATACTGCACAGCCAGGGTGTGGGTATATAGGGTATCGGTGCCAAAAAATGGCATTGACACAACACTAATAATGAGAACATTTGATATCCAACGAAAATCTGAAATCCATCCATCCATCCATTATCTGACACGCTTGTCCCAACTGGGGTTGCGAGGGGTGCTGTGGCTTATCTCCAGCAGTCAATGGGCGAGAGGCGGGGGACACCCTGGACAGGTCACCGGTAAAATCTAAAATCAGTGTAACTAAAATTAAATCTAAGTAGAGCTAAAGTTAATGTTAAAATACCAACTTAATACCAGTTACTTAGCTGACTGAAGTAAAATGATTCATCAGTGAGTCGGGATCGGGATGATGATGATGATGATGATGATGATGTGTTAATCTATTGTCTCCAATCCAACATCCTTGTTGTACAGGGTGAATCATCAAAGTTAGTTTCCTAATTGTCAGTGATATGTTCTATTCTGGTGGTATGTTTACCTAAGGCCGTGCTACGTATTCTTCCCCATTTTCACTTACCGGTGGTGAGTCCTCCAAAATACCTATACCATAATTAAATACTATTTTGTGGTCTGTAAAGTTTTTTGGCATACCGCTAACAGCAACGGAGGTGTGCAACTTGAATTGAGCTACATGACACCAGCATTAAGAGAATTACAATTTAATGGAGCCTAGTCCTCTACTACGATAAATTAGTAGAGGTAAATTGCTGTGCCAGTAGCTCTCTTGGGTTACATATCATTTACTTCTGTATTTAACAATATGCTTTTTCTCCATATGTGCTGAAGCATTATGAAAATAAAGCCTTACAAGAGCACATAAATGGGGTTACCATATTGCACATGCAGGCAATGGGCAGACAAGGAAGTCATTGGTCAGAGCAACTTCCAGTCAGTGTGTGGAAAAAAGAACAAATGTCCGAGATCAAGTGTGAAAAGTGCAGAACAGTGTTAGAAGTTGAAAGAGATAACACCAGTGGTGACCACTGAAGCGCAAGCTAAAGCCTTGGAAGCTGGAAACTGGATTAATAGTTACTGCCAGCAGATGGCGGATTTTGTTTCTGCTGATCGTACCTGGCACAAAAAATTATTTAATGTTCAAAAAGGACTAAGAAAATACTATCTGAGTGAACGTTTGAGTATTTAGCCTTATAATAACATGAACTTATGGTTTTTGGTGGGTTTGATTTCAGGTGTATACTATGAGACTAAGGCCATTTAAAGCTATTGTGTAGGGTTTTCATGTTTTTTTTAAAAGCCCCAACCCTCTCCACTAAAAAAAAAAGCACATGCAAAACCCTGTACCCGCCTACGAGATAAAACACCTAACGCGTGCGAGAGCATGCATGAGCCCATTTCTCCTCATGTACTCTCTGTTTATAAGTTGCTGTTCTCATAGTTCATAAAAGCTTACTGTCTCGACATACAGTGGGGAACTACATAGTGGACTTTATAACAACTTTATAGAAAAGCAGATGATCACTGCTTTTTGCTCCCCATTGGTCACGTAACTCCTGCTACACTGCACGGTGCCGTCGCCATCTTTGTTATTAGTCGCCACTGTCGAGTAGCGACAGCAGGCAGGCTGTAACAGCAAATCCGTGCAGAGCATTCTGGGATATATCTGCCAGTTCATAGACACTTTTTCTTTTACGACCCTCTGCCATTTTCAAAGAACAGTGGTGAGAAATATGAGCTCAATGACTGTCTGAAACCGTAGCTCACCACATAGAGTATATACGCCTGAAAGATCATCCTTTATACCTTTCAGAAAAGCAATCTAACATGTTATTGGAGGATAGAGGTCAAAGTACAATTCCTCTCAGTGGCAAACAGGTGAATCTGTCTTCTCCTGCATTGTCTTTCTATAAGCAGGTACTTGTCTTTTTGCTGTGAATTATTATTAGTGCAAGTAATGAAAA